TCCCATAGAAATATGTAGAAATTTCCTGGATTTAATATTGGGCTTTGAATGTTTTTAAAACAATGTTGGCTCACATGTAACTCTCTTGCTACCTTTGAGTTTTCTGTTAGAAAAGCCAAACTATTTGTGCAGTCTTCATTCTAACTTAAAACCCCCAAACCCCCAAAACACAAAAACAATGGTACTACCACTGATGCGTGAAGGGATTAAAAAAATAAAAACACCAGACAGACTGGAACTTTTAAAAATGTGGCTGTGCTAAATTCACACACGTGTACATATTTACAACCATTCATTTATACAAACAATTTATTATTACAGTTGAGCAAATTTTCTACAACTAATTAAACATTATTACCTCTTGGTTTAAATTAATTCAGAAAGGTAATGAAAAGAAATAAAGAACCCTGAATTAATTTTTGCATTAGGTAATCCAGGTTTTTTAAAGATGGCTTCAGGCTACATTTCCAATAAGAATAATGGATAATTGTCTTAATATAGGCCTCTTTTTGACTAAGTGTTCTATCTGTAACAGTTTTTTAAAGACTGCATCATATAAATGTTGGCAATACTTTAAAAAAAAAAAAAAAAAAAAAGCAAACTAAAACTAACGTTTGAAAAAATATACACTGTGTCCGGTCCCATATTTCTTAATGCCAAGTCCTGTTTTATGTGTGTGTAGTTTAGAGTTTTCCAAACTACAGTTTAAAAACCACTGATGGTCCATAGAGAACTATTTACACAGTAGACAGGTCACATGGTGTTGGGCCCTCCTATTAATTTACAAGAATTACAATAAAAGAAAGCTATGCACCTTCTGCTTCAGTGTGCTTTGGATTAGTCCTTAAAAGAGCCCACAGATATCTGCATACTTTCCATCATGTCACTATCTAATGTCTGCACAGAGACATTCAGGGAAGTTAAGCCAAATTAAATAAAGTAATGTGTATAAATTAAAAGATGTCTAAATTTCTGTGTGGTCCTGAATGCCACCATATACATGATGGTTTATGTGCCTTAATCTGTGCACAGTGACTTCACATTTTCAGGTGATTTACCTTGGCTTTCTTGAATGTTCCTGTTTAAACAAACCCTATATATATGTTTTGCTTCTGTTTCTATGGCGTAATTACATAATTGTGAGCAAGAGGAGGTGATCCCTGGGGAAATTACAGCAAAGGAAAATGGTCAATTAGACTGGCATCTTAATAAAGATTGTTTATCTTGTGGAAAAAAAAGAGAGAACCAAAGACTTCAGGTTAAGGTTCAAAGATTTTAAAATCCAGTTCATTACACTTTTTTCTTTCAGGGTTTACTTGATTATTATGACACACTTCAACTTCAGCTTAATGATATTGTGGAGTTGGTAAGAGGAAAATTATCTAAGCAAACACGAACTACACTAGGTGCTTTGGTGACTATTGATGTGCATGCTAGAGATGTCGTCATGGAAATGATTAAAAGTGGTACATATCTTTTTTAAATGTTATTGTTGATGTGTTTTTAGCATAGATTTACCCCAAACAGAGAAATAGACTTCTATAATCTGATTTCCTTCCTTTTTTTAATGTAAGCATCTTAAGTAGGAAAACATTCATAATTACAAAACTACCAGTATTTCATATCTGTGAATGTATCTTATACTTTACTATATCCGATTTTATAAAGCTTTTTTCAGCTCTAGCGCTAATTCCATTTCTGCTAGGTGTGGAAAATGAAACAGACTTTCAGTGGCTCGCTCAACTGCGATATTATTGGGAATATGAGAATGTTCGTGTCCGCATCATTAATTGCAATGTAAAATATGCCTATGAATACCTTGGAAACTCACCTCGACTTGTCATTACTCCACTTACGGATAGGTGTTACCGCACATTGGTATGCTTTTATATAAAAACACACAGTTGAAATGACTACAGAATTAATTTAATTGTAATATGTTTTTTTCCTACTTCATACTTGTTAGGTTCACAGCACTAATTATGGGACTCAGCGTTTCTGTTTAAAACATCCAGTATTCAGGGGCCTATAAGCATTTTTCCATGTGCTCCTGACGTGGCACCTGGCACTTTTAATTAGTGAATTGAGCTAATTAAAAGTGCCGGGCTCCACATAGGGAGCATGTGTATCAGTGGTGTAGCACTCCATGCTCAGAAAATGGCAGTGGTGCGCTTTGAACTAAAGCACATTGAACATGTTTTAGTTAAAAGCGCAACACTGCCATTTTCTCAGTGCGGAGGTGTGCTGTGCTGCTGATGCATGTGACACATGAGGCTGCCAGAGCGCATCAGTTTACGTGCTCCATCAGACTCAATTAATTGAGTCTGCTCTGATGTGGTGGATTTCCAGTGCATTGGAGCAGGCTCCTCACATGTGTGTAAGTGTCTTGTGATTCTTATTTAAACTTTCAAACCTGACCTATCTTATGTTACCACACCTGACCACACCTGCAACTATTGTTAATTGTGCATGTTTTGTGCTAAACTGTGCACGTTTACCAACATGGCTGAAATGTGACTGGATGATTTGGTTGTATATCTAGCATAAAGCAAACTTGGCAGCTGGCTAACAGTGAGGGGGTAAACCACTTGTGATGCTCTGTAGCTAGCAAATGAAATTGCCATTGACTTACCTATGATATTGTTCTTAAAACTGGGACAGAAAAGAAACCCCGAATGCACTTGAAAGAGTACTGGGAACTAGAGGGAGGAATAAGGGTTATGTTGGGGAGCTAGAAGGAAGGAAGCAATAATGATCAGTGATTAACAGATCCAGAAAGATGGGAGAGAGAGAATGAGTGATGAAGGTGGGGTGGTATGGGAAAGCAAAGCAGAGGAAGAGACTGGCATCTGGGGGAGAACAGTAACGGAATAATAATAAATAATAATGGATCATAGTAAATAGTAAGTAGACAATGGATCAGGGCCAGAGTAAATGGAGACTGGGTAGAGAAGAACACAGGGAATGAGAGGGAAGAGACAAGTTTAAGGACAAAAAGGGAGAAATGGTAACAAAGAGAATCTGTCAAGATCAGGACCTATTTGTTTTTTCCTGTAAGTAAGAACTGCCAGATCCAGTCCAGAACAGAAAATATCCAGGCAGGATTAGTATACTAAGGGAAAAAAGACTGCATCCCCCTTTCTAGGTACCTGTAATAAAAGACAGCTTCAGGCTGAACTCATTTACTTTATTTTGAAGTTGGAAATTTTAAGTAAACATTAGGGTAGCCTTTTCCATTTAGTATGAATCTGTTTTATATAGTACGTGTTTTCAATTTTTGTGTTACAATTGATTTTAAAATTATTTTCTATTATTAAAGTTGTCTCCAGGATTAAATTATTGGTTATCTTCATAAACCATTTATTTTATTTTCTTTAGATTGGAGCTTTTTATCTAAACCTTGGTGGTGCCCCAGAGGGCCCAGCAGGAACAGGCAAAACTGAGACCACCAAAGACTTGGCTAAGGCTCTTGCTGTGCAATGTGTTGTCTTCAACTGTTCTGATGGCCTTGATTATCTGGCAATGGGGAAGGTAAACAGAATTGCATTGCAAGCTCAGGATTTGTGTATGTCAGGAAAAAGGTGTTAATTTCCAATGCAAGTTAGGTGTCTACCTCACAAAGCATTTTTGAGGATCTGACCAATGATCCACTGCCCCAAACAACTGCCAATCCAAGGTCTCAATTCTGCAATGAGTTTTACATGTGCTTAACTTATACACTGCAAATAATATCACTGAAGTCCCTAAGACTACTAACAATGCGTAAAGTTAAATATGGGTGGAAGAGCTTGTAGGATCAAAGAGGCAGAGACAGCTTCCATTGAAACCAATGAAAAAGTTCTGTTAACTTATTTTCCTAGAATCCTTGGCTGACCTGTCTTTTCAATTAGGCTAAAATCTTAGTCAAAATATACAAGTAAATGTATTTCACATAATTCAGCTGAACCCCTCATGTCAATTATTTATTTTAAATCTTCTCATGCTATGTTAGAGATATAATTACCAGGGATCCGGGTTTTCCCATTTCCCACAGAAAAGATCTGCACATGCTGGCTTGGAGCCAGTCTGGTCTGGTGTGGTCTGAAGACGTGCACCAGCAGGCCGAGCTGGCTCGCTGCCATCATGTTCAGGCCCTGGGACTCAGCCAGAGGTGTGTGCTGCCAGGTCCTCTGCCTGCCATGGCCATGAGCACACTGAGAGCCCACCACCTGCTGCTGCTAAGCTGCTGGCAGCGGTGGCTGGGCACCATGGGGGGGGGGAGGGGGAATGTTGTGAGGGGCTGCCACACCTACCTACAAATCCCCCCACGCACACCCACAAACCTCACACGTGCCCACAAACCCCAAATACTCCCATACCCACACACCCACCCATACCCCTCCACATCTTCACAAACCACCCCCCAAACACACCTTACAGCCACCCCAACCATACAAAGTACCTACATATATTTCTAAAGAAGATTGAAGTAGTGCTATATTTAGTTTACTTTGTAATAAAAATAAAAGTAATTTTGCATAATTTTGAGTTTTTCAGCACAATTTTGAGTTTTTCTGCACTCTGTACCCTGGGGTGTACAGAGTGGTCTCAGCAGAGGATTTTCCATGATGAAAAACCTAATATCAAATGCTGAAATATATAGGTATTTAGAAATTATTTTATTATAGTGATTGAGGCACTGGTAGGTTTCCAAGTTGCTTTAAAATGTTAAATATATCACTAAAACATTGTGTTCAGCTGATACCTCTCTCTCTCTCTATGTGTGTGTGTATATATATATATATAGTGGCCTTTCATTTTGATAAGAGATTTGGGGGGTTTAATCAGATAATTTGTGATATTTTTTATCAGAGAAAACCAGGATCCATGGTAATTACATCCTTTCTTTCTTGTTTTGCAGTTTTTTAAGGGTTTGGCTTCTTCAGGTGCTTGGGCTTGTTTTGATGAGTTCAATCGCATTGAGCTAGAAGTACTGTCTGTGGTGGCTCAGCAGATTCTTTGCATTCAAAGAGCCATACAGATGAAGGTGGAAACATTTAATTTTGAAGGGACTGAACTGAAGCTCAATCCCAACTGTTTTGTAGCTATTACCATGAATCCAGGTTATGCAGGACGGTCTGAGCTGCCAGACAACCTCAAGGTAAAACAATAAAATAAACGAATTCACTTAATAATACCTTTGAAAACATGACCAAATGGGCATTGATGATTTTAAAACAGAATGTGGCACATAGAATATATACACTTCATAAAATTTACTTTTCTTATGCTATGTATTCCTTTTTTAAGAGGAATGTCCTTGAAAGTTGTCTGTTAAAATTGTTTGTTAATTTTCTTTTTTGTGTGACTGGTCAAAGCTTGCAGTTCTAGGGAGATGTTTTACCCCAATACAAATTGTGTAGGAACTTCAGAAATTCATCCTAAGTTATTTTAAAGAAATTATGATGTTGGATCCAATTATTTTAAGTAAACATGCTTTTAAAAATGTTCCAAAAGTATTGCACAAAAACAGTGCTAATGAAATTTGACTAGTTCATGTGATGAATCTGCTATTTAAACACTTCTTATTATGTTTGCTTATGCCTATTTCTAGAAAGCAGTATTGCAGAGCTGGTCTGTATTAGAGGCATGTTGCTTCAAAGGAAGGCTTTGTAGGAATGCCAAATTCATTTAGGAACTTTCTGAACTGGGAGCAAGCACACTCCTATGTTCTTTCTGGAGCTGCCCCCTTGCTATTCTTGAGATATTTGGCTCTCAGGTGGCAAATAAAACAGTCTGTGCACGCTTAAGAGTAAGAATGTGGGGACAGAAAGTTGGAGGAAAACAGCAACGGGGGAGGCTACAGTCTGGATCTTAGCAAATCATATGGCATGAAAGGAGACCAAGCATCTTGTTTGTGTCTGGCTCCTAATGAGTCATGGTTCTTGTCTTCTAATGTTGATAGTTCTGTAACGGTATAGCTTTATACATCCATACGCTTTAAGTGCTGGTCAAAGATTTCTTATTTCTGTTCTCTTATTCTTAAGTGATCTAAGCATGTCTCTTGGGATATGTATTTCAGGTTCTTTTCCGAACAGTAGCCATGATGGTTCCTAACTATGCCCTGATAGCAGAAATCTCTCTCTACTCATATGGATTTCTGAATGCTAAGCCATTATCAGTAAAGATAGTCATGACCTACAGGCTTTGTTCAGAACAGCTTTCCTCTCAGTTTCATTATGACTATGGCATGCGAGCAGTTAAAGCTGTATTAGTGGCTGCTGGTAATCTAAAGCTGAAATTCCCAAAGGAGAATGAAGATATCCTGGTAAGCTTGTGAGACAGTAGTACATAGTGAATTTCACTAGATTGACTGCTTTTTAGATATCTGTATCCAGCTCTGGCATTGCCTGTGTTCTGCCTTGTCACTGAACCACTCGATCAGATTTTATTCATAATGCTTAATCTGTAAAGATAAACTACTTAATATTTTTATAGCACTTTGTAAATGTGAAACTCAACATAAATGTTTACTATATTTATTTATTAAGATGTAAATAAAAAAGTTACATTTTTAAATGACAAGGAAAGAAAGATGAATATAAAATAGTTGTGGAATTGATGTTTAGTTAACTAAGTTTCCAAAGCACTGCAGCATCATCGTACAATGGATGATCCTATATACATTTAAAAGATAAAGCATGATATGTTTCCTAATTTTTGGCAGGGCATTTCTGATTTAGTTTTAAATTTCTTGTGCTGCTGAATCCTTCAAGAAATCTCTTGAGTCTTGTAACACTGCTGTATTTTTGAAGTTGCTCTGCAGGCAGTCCCTCTGACTTGCTCCTTATTTGTGTCATCTCCCAGCTCCTCTATGAGTATATCATAGCCAAAGTGCATGAGAACCAAGAATATAGGAAACAGTAAAGCAGGGCACAGCTTGCTTGGCATGCTGCTAGGGTTGCCAACTCGTGTTTGAATCTATTCCGGAACACAGACGTGCCCACGTGTTTACATATATAAGTTGCAGACTGCAATGCGTAGACTTTGTCAGGAAGGCAAACGCACATTACTATTACATTTAAAAAACCCACTGGACTAATGTATAAATAGGATTTAATATTTAATATTTATTTTAATGAATACCCTATCATTTATCTCCTGGGTGGCTCTCAGCAGTTTCCTGGAGATTTATATCTAATTCCTGGAGACTCCAGGGTAATCCTAGAGGGTTGGCAACTCTACATGCTCCAGATTTAGGTAAAAAATCTCCTTCATTGTCACGTTTATGGATAAAAGAGGAGTGGTTTCTAGATGTGCTAAAAATGGCGAGAAATTGCAGAAAGGCAGCAGTGCTATACTGATCCTGGGAGGCAATGAAGTGTGTTTAGATTCCTCCATCAAGCCCCCCAGTACAGTTTCAGAAATGTTCTTACTCTTAAGGGAAACTGTGAGCTTTCCAGCGCAGTGTGGCAATGGCAACTGTGCAGTCTTTGATCTGTATCATATGTACAACACATCATGTAGACTATTTTAGTTATTGAACAGCATAATAATTATTCTACTGTTGCCATGTACGTTGGAACATCAGTTTTCTGTAAAATTGTGTATTTGTTTTCTTTAGCTTCTTCGATCAATCAAAGATGTGAATGAGCCAAAATTTTTGTCACACGATATACCTCTGTTCATGGGAATAACTAGTGATTTATTCCCTGGTGTTAAGCTGCCTGAAGCAGATTACAATGTAAGTATCGTTGTGAAGTATTTTTTTCTCAGCAATACTCCTGGCATTGTATCAATTTTAACTAACTCCCTAATCTGTTTATAATTGCAAGCTGAGACGGAAAGTAAAATGTTTATAATAGAACTTGTCTGAATGAAAATTCACTTGGTTTCATTGTGATCTCAAGGCCCGGCTTGGGTCCCTCATATATGGAGATCTTAGAATTAATTTTTTTTTGAGTTCTAACCCAGTTTTGCCTGAGCAAAACATACCAGACTTTTTTTTTTTTTTTTTTTTACCTGAACCACCCTTTTTAAATATATCTCACAGGTACATACTCACTCCTATCTGAATATAAGTGGCTTTTGTAAGTGGCTTACTTTCCCCTACCCTGTAATTTTTGGTATGATTTCAGCATGTTCCATTTTATTGTAGAGGTAGAGTCAGCCAGGCTGTCTTAGGCAATGATAACAGTACAAGCAGAAACTCTCCCTGCCTCCATGGACTTGCTATAAATGACTGTTCAATGAAGTACTTAGGAGATTTTTTGTGTGGCTATTTCCCAGATTTTCCTGAAAAATATTTCAATAATTAATAAATATCAAATCTTTATCCATAAATGTTCTAATGTTGGATGATACACCAGACAAGCAGATGAATAATATGGAATGATGAATAAACCACGTTCATGTTTCTCATGAAGAAAATAAAATTATATTAGGTTTATAAAATATTATTGTAAACTGTGTAATATGTCATACTAGGTAAGTATGACATTATTGTTTTAAACTTTATTAAATAAAAAGGATTTTTTTTAATTTTAGGATTTTCTGGAATGTGCCAATGAATGCTGTATAAAGCATAATGTTCAGCCTGTTAAAGTTTTTATGGAGAAAGTTATACAGACTTATGAAATGATGATTGTCAGACATGGGTAAGATTACAAAGTCCTGATTACAAATGACCACATATTGTCTTTATGGTTTATATAATGGGTAGTAGAAAATATTTATGGAAATAGAATAGGAAAATATTTTAGCATTTTAAGAAGAATCCTAAGAGCCATTAATTTTAGTAAGCTCTGGATTTCTTAATTTTAAAGCAAATTTGGTGACCAAAATACTAGTGGTTTTTTAATCTTAATATATTTGATCCTGTACTCCCAACACTCTGGCTTCATTGGTAGTTCTTTCTTTAATAGTGGTTGCAGGTTAGGTTGTTATTGTGGAGAAAAGCTGGTACTGTAGAAGATTAATTCTATCAGAATATCAGTCCAACACATGTCTACCATTTTAGTCATTTTTTTTTGTTTTTGGTTCTTTTTGGGGGGGGAACTTTACTGAGCAGTAAATATGTAGTTGTAATCTGTACTGCAGTACACTGGGAAGCATAACAACTGAAAAAAAAATTAGAAAATAGATTAAGTGGGGAGGTGGGGAGATAATAGATTTCAAATATTCAAAAGACTGCCATAAAGAAGAAGGAGAACAACTGAGAAACTTTCTTCCTGTTCTAGCAGTAGGGTAGTGAAATAGTCTGCTCAGAAAAGTTGTGTAATCTCCTTCATTGGATGTTCAAAAGGATGCTGGATAAGCATTGGCAGGGACAATCTAAGAAAAGCATTCCTGCATTTGTACATAGGGTTGAACCAGTTGACCCTTGAGGTCCCTTCTAGGTATATGATTCTGTTACTACTACTCAGTTGTTATGTATCGCTTTACATAATTAAAGTCTTCTACAAGAATTAAGTAATAAATCCTTAAAATAGACTAATCTGGACACAAAACAGTTTGATTTTTACTTTAGGGCAGGGTCCTTACCTGCCTTTGTCTTCCAACAGAATTTCATGTTAACCTTTCCCTAAATAGCAAAGAAAATGAGAAAATAAAGTTAGAACTTATTCTGCAAATAGATTAGATTAACTAGTATGAACCCCTGCTTGGTATTTATATGTGCATCTGTTTGCAGAATTGAGACATTAAACAATTGAGGCCAGTGTTTTTTAAGAGACTCACTTGCCTTTGACTGACTTACTCAGTTGTGCAGTCAATATGTACAATTGCATGTGCAAATAAACATTTGCATATACAAATGACCATTTAGACTAACTTGTCATTTTTTATCTATGAAATACTTGATTTGCATGCAAATTCAATCCAGGTTTTTGAACTGACCCCATAAAAAGTTACCTCCTAACCATTGATTCATTGATGCAATAAAACGTATTCTAATTTTTGCTACATAGAGCTTCAGATCCAGGAAGAAAACTTAGGTCTGTGCTTATGGTAAGCACCTGAATAGTGCCATTTTGGCAACTGGCTGGATCAAGATCATGAAATCTGTTTCAGGAAAGTATAAGAGTTTAATATTTTTTTTATTTCTGTAGTTTTATGCTTGTAGGAGAGTCTTTCTCTGGGAAGACCAAAGTTCTGCATGTGTTGGCAGATACACTCTCTCTCATGAATGAACGTGGATATGGCGAAGAAGAAAAAGTAATTTTTAGAACTGTGAATCCAAAATCTATCACCATGGGTCAACTTTTTGGACAGTTTGATCTTGTGTCTCATGAGGTAATGTGTGTGTATATATGCTTATTTTTTAAAAATGTCTTGTCATAATTGGCCATGTCACGTTATATAATCCTGCTGTACAGTTTTTGGTCTGGCCTGCATACAGGGTTTGTTTGTCCTGAAGTTTGCTGACATGGTTATACCAGGGAAGGGTATAATTCATTAAGTATCTCTAACATACTTAGGTTAGTAAAATTTAGGTGTGAAACAAAAATAAGGTGTTTAATGGAAAAGTTATGCTAACAAAAGCCGTGTTGTAGACTCAATTATACTAGCACAAATTCTTGCTTCACCTAGCTTATTCCATTCAAAGAGCTGGTTTAAGCTGTACCACCAAGATAATTCTTTTGCAAGCTTAAATTGAATTACCACTCGTAAAGGGTTTGCTGGTACAGATGTATTGATGACAAAAACTTTCAAGTGTTGAAAAGACCAGAGTTTAAGTAGTGCTTTAGGTGTTGTGGTAGGCCATTGTATTTATACCAGCATACTTACAGATTCATAGATGCTACGGTCAGAAGGGACCTCAGTAGACCATCGAGTCCAACCCCCTGCCCTGGGCAGGAAAGAGGGCTGGGGTCAGACAACCCAGAGTGCTGGGGTCAGACAACCCAAGCCAGGTGCCTGTCTAGCCTCCTCTTAAAGACCCCCAAGGTAGGGGAGGGCACCACCTCCCTCGGAAGTCCATTCCAGATTTTGGCAACCCTTACCATACGGAAGTTCTTTCTGATGTCTAACCTAAATCTGCTTTCCATCAGTTTGTGATCATTGTTCCTAGTGAGTCCAAGGGGTGCCCTGGTAAACAGAGCATCCCCTATTTCTTGCTGCCCCCTCCCTTGATGAATTTGTAGGTGGCCACAAAATCCCCTCTCAACCTTCTCTTGCGGAGGCTAAAGAGATCCAGGGTCCTCAATGTTTCCTCATAGGACTTTGCCTACAGGCCCCCAACCATACGAGTGGCTCTCCTATGAACCCTCTTGAGGTTGTCCACATCCCTCTTGAAGTATGGTGCCCAAAATTGGACACAGTACTCCAACTGCATCCTGACCAGTGCTGCATAAAGGGGAAATATCACCTCCTTAAACCTGTTTGTCATGCACCTGCTAATGCATGATAAAGTGTGGTTGGCTTTACTGATCACTTCATCACATTGATGACTCATCTGCATCTTGGAGTCAACAGTGACTCCAAGATCCCTTTCTGCTGCTGTACTGCTGAGAAGGTCCTCCCCCAGCCTGTAAGCGTGTTGCTGATTTCTTCTTCCTAGGTGCAGCACTTTGCATTTGTCCTTATTAAACTGCATCCTATTCTGTTCCACCCTCTTTTTCAACCTGTCCAGATCTGCCTGGATTTGTTCCCTACCCTATGGTGTGTTAACTTTACCCCATAATTTGGTATCATCAGCGAATTTGGACAGAGCGCTTGCTACACCCTCATCCAAGTCACTGATGAAGACATTGAACAGCACCGGTCCAAGGACCAAGGCTTGTGGGACTCCACTGCCCACATCTTTCCAGGTCAATACCAACCCATCCACCACCACTCTCTGGGTATGACCCCTAAGCCAATTTGCCACCCACCTAACCGTGTAGTCATCTACTTTGTAGTCGCATAGTTTGTCTATGAGAATATAATGAAGTACCATATCAAAGGCCTTCTTAAAATCCAGTCTGGTCATAAAAAGAAACAAGGTTAGTCAGGCAGGATCTACCTGCTATGAATCCATGCTGGTTGCTCTTTAGCATTGCTTTCCCCACTGGACTCTCACAAATGTGATCCTTAATAATTTTTTCAAGGATTTTCCCAAGGATAGAGGTGAAACTAGCTGGTCTACACCAATTCTTCTGTTCTTCAGTGCCTTGCTAACTAATCTCCTGAGCACACTGAAGTCAGCCTTTCTGAAGTCAAGCACTTCTGCCCTACTGGTTATCTTTCCCACCCTATACCGGATAGTGAATTTAATCAGGTGATGGTCACTGTCCCCTAGGTTACCTTGCGTCAGTAGATCATCCACCAAATCATCCCCTGTAGCCAGGACCAAGTCCAACAAGGCATTTCCCTTAGTGGGACCATATACCTCCTGCATTAGGTGAAGGTCCTGTATGCAGATTAAGAACCTATGTGAACGGTTGGATCTAGCTGACTGCTCCTCTCAGAAGATGTCTGGGTAGCTTAGGTCACCCATGACAACCATGTCCCTTGACCATATGGCCTGTGGGAGCTGTCTGGAGAATTCTAGGTCCAACTCCTCCTCCTGATGTAGCGGCCTGTAGTAGACCCCCACTATCAAGTTCCTTTCCCCCCAACCCCTTAAAGCTGTACAAATCCTAGCACAGATGCAATAATACTGTTATCAAGGCTATTATACTGGTATAGTTTATTTCTCTGAAGGAAATATGTAGTGAGAATCTGAGGACCTTTATACCGGTATCACTGGGTGCCTGTAGATGTGTGGGAACACCGTGCTGAAGCACTGTAATTACAGCATATTGGAGCAGACTCGATTGAATTAGTCTGTTGAAGTGTGCCCATTAGCGTGCTCCAGCCTCTGCATCTCATGTATTTAGTGTTCCCACATTCCAAAATGGTGGCGGAGGCATTTTAACTAAAGCTCGTTAAATGAGCCTCAATTAAAGTGTCCCCTCTGCCATTTTGAAGCACAGGGTGCTGAATATACAAGAAGCTGTGACTGCTTTAATTAGAGCAACTCTTCGAGCCACTCTAAAGTGCCCTCTCTCCACCCCTGGAGCATGTTTAAAGACACCCACTGTGTCTACACTGTGCCACTTTAACTATATAAGTTTCCAAACCTCTGGAATTAAAACATTACAAAAGATGGGTAGGTAAGTACTAGGACTAAGGACTTCCCAAGTGTAAAACTCATTGGGTTATGGCAGGAAGAGGAAACTGAATCAAGGTGATTGTGTGAGGCCTTGGGGGTGAAAAATGCAAAACAGAGTGCAAGATTTTTATCTCAAGTTTCTGCACTTTTCTCCAGGGTACTTGTTTGAGGGAGAAAAAGACTTGATTACATTTTTTAAAATTATGCCAAAAAACACCTGATCATTTTTCATCTATCTGCTCCAAATGGGAAACCAACCTGCTGGACTCTGACTTCTGCCACTGTTTGGCAAAGTGGAAACTATATTTTTAAAAACATTTATGTTCCTGATGGTTTTTAATGAGCTTCTCTTTGTTTATTGGAGCCAAATAGAGACCCGATTCAACAAAGCATTTAGGCATGTGAGTAGTCCTATTGGTTTTAGAATTATAACTAAAAAAAAAAAAATCTCTTTTATATTTTTTTCTCAACCCAGTGGACAGATGGAATTGTTGCTAACACTTTCCGGGAATTTGCTTTAGCTGAGACACTCGAACGCAAATGGGTTATTTTTGATGGCCCTATTGATACTCTATGGATAGAGAGTATGAACACAGTGCTGGATGACAATAAAAAGGTAAAAATAAAAAATAAACTATGTGGTGGATAATTATGCTTGGGTTGTGGCTTCCATTAGGTGTGACCTGTACTACTTCACCCCAACCACATCAAGCTGCCTCTGAACGATGTGTGATGCTGGGATCCCATCTGTGAATGTTAAATGGTAGTTACAGAGTTGAGGAGGTAGATGGAGATACAGAGCCCAAGCCCAGGGTGGCTACTGGGAAGACGCAACTATATTACATAGAATGTAGACTACTTAGCCCAGGGGGTAGGTTGGGGTGGAGGATAAGGGTGCAATGCTTATAAAGAAGAGAAGATGCAAAATGCCCCATGCAAAGGTAGCCGCATCGTTACAAAGTAGCGAGTTTTAAAGGATACACGCAGATACAAGTAACAGCATGCAGGATACAATTGGGCGGGGGGGGGGGGGGGGGGGGGGGGGAGCC